GATTAGCCAATTAATCAGTTGCTGATGGCATAATTACAGTCGTCTTTGTGCGATCAGAGACCCTGAAGTAGCAGAAATAAGGTGGCAGAAATTGTGCCATCTTTGAATTTGGTCAAAAGGTCGATCGCCCCCACTCTCCTCGTCCTGATGTCTGCACTTGAGGAACAGCAAGCCGTCGTACAGCTTACCAGTGAGGGAGTAGAGTAGTAGCAAAGAGTAGTAGAGTAGTAAATGGGTTCTGCGGAATTAACGGAGACTGGAGCAATTATGCAGAAGCTGCTCTATTACTGGCTTTTTCACGCCTTAAGGCGTAAAAAAATATTTGTTTTCCTACCAGTGTGTATTTTCACATTACAGTCAGCAGAAGAAAAGGTCTAGAGATATTTCATCAACAGAACAGCCAGAGAAATGCAAGTCTAATGATGGAAGTGAAGAACAGCTGACTGACCAGCATTGGGTCCGCAGGGGGAAGCCTTCTCTCCATGTCCTTCAGCCAGTGCCGCAGACTCCGGATCTGACCTCTGAACTCAGCCTGCCATTGGCTCCACTCCCCCACATTGCTCCTGGATCAGGTGGGTGGGGATGGGGGGGGTGTTATAGGGAATTCAGACACAAGAATTTATTTGTAGCTCTAACTCAAACTGCTTCTAACCCCTGTTTAAATACTAAAGAGCTGTTCCATTGTTGTTGTAAAGTCTCAGCATAGACATTGTAAACCCATTACAATAGACACTCAGTGGCCTGTCTATTAGAAAGACCTGCTTGTTAGTGCAAACACTCTGTTCATTCAAACAAGCAAATCAAGTGACTGCAATTGACTACAGACAAACAAGGGTTAGGGGGATGTTACTGTTTGGCTGAGCATTAAAATGGCTAAAATGTGTGATCTTAGCAATTTTGCTTATGGTATTGCTGCTCGTGCCAGAAATGCATCTTGGAAACCAGCACCTTCCCATGATTTTCACATGCTACAGTTTCTAGAGTTCAGAGAGTGGAGTAATAAGTAATAAACACCTATTCAGCAGCAGTTCTGTGGCTGCAAACGCTATGATAATAAGTGCAAGGTCAGCAGTGGAAGGTGACAGGAGCACGAGTAACAGCTCTGTGCAGTAATGGTCTGCAGAAAGGCTTCTCTGAACATACAACTTGTCCGTCCTTGAAGAGATTCTGAAGGAAAAAGTGGGTCTCACTGCCTGGGTGTACCCAATAAAGTGAGTATACATATACTCACATAAATGTAATTTAAAAAAGACTAAATAAGGAGTAACTTCTAAATGTACTAATTTACAATGATCATGTAGTATATAATTAGGCTACAGTGCATACTGTAACCCCGAGTACCTTAAGACGGAGTTGAGAGGGAGTAAAAAAGGGAACCACTGGGCATCCTGAGGACTGGTCTGAGAAACACTGGCTTAAGACATGTTTCCTCCTGCTATTTAGCTGGTATGTTTAAATTATGAATAGACTGCCTTTTATATTAAAGACTGAAATACAATGGTTTGTAACACCAACTGCACTCCCTCCTTTGTGACATTCATCAAAAAAAGGCTTCAGGATCTTGTCAGCTCCAGGTAAAATACCGTATGTACTTACTTTTATTATTGATGTATTTTTATTCTTATTTTGCTCTGTATTATAACTTTTATGACTTAACTACAAATCCGACTGCCTGTAATCTGAAGAAATAAGAGGGACAGACCTTACAGGACATTAAATAACCAGTTACCGAACTAACTTGCCCCCTCCCACTATACAGTATTTGTGTCTGTTCCAATGATGAACTCATGCTAAGCACTAATGAACTTCGGAAAAGCTAGAAAAGTGCTGCTTCCACAGTGAAGTTCTGCCCATCAGGAAGTCTTGCTCAGTGTAGCTGGGAAGTCATCTTTTCCCAAAAACAGGAACCGCACAAAGAAGCGGCTCGACTCGTTCCACAGCAGGACTGTACATGCGACACATACGGCATGTGTCAGTGCACTTCGGGTCTCAGTTACCAGTTCTGGTCTTCGTTCGGTTTAGATACGCCGAGCATCTTCCCATCACCCTAAATGGAAGAGAGAGAAAAAATGGAATTGAATGAATAATAATCTATACACCTCCTTAAACATCCATTTTAAAGCCCCTTTTTTAGGTAAAGGCCACAGTTAAATTATTATGTTACACCCATTATGGAAAAAAAAATGGTGTGATCACATACAAAAGTGGCCCCTACTTCTAGTTTACTGCTAAACCACAGACAAAACTTTAGTGCTGAGGGTGATGACTACCATAGTCTAGTTTGGGAATTTGTCAGATTCAACATGAGAAAGTAATGCCTTTGTGTAAAATACCTGCCTGGTACTGGAACTGCAGCACTGTAATGACTAATAGAATCGCTTGACTCCTTCTCACTGCAGCACTGTAATGACTAATAGAATCGCTTGACTCCTTCTAACTGGTGTCGGGCACCATGTCACTTGCAATTGTTATAAAGTGATTTCCTGGACTTCCTAAAGCAAGCAGAAGAGATTAGCAGCAGGACGCTTAAGCAGTGTGGATTTGAAACCTGAAGGCTGCTGGTTTGAATCACAAAAGGTGCCTGAAGGACAGGTACCCAGCCCATTTGATCTGTAGGCAATCCATGAAGGAGGAGGAGGAGGAGGAGGAGGAGGAAGTTTCTCCAGCATTTAGTGCCAGTCACACAGGGTATCGGTGACTGCTTGATTTTGTATGAAAGATCAGGTGATTTCCTCCTTTTGACCTGACCACCTCGTCCTGGTGTTGAACGTTCAGGGTCTCTCCCGGTCTTTCATTAAAAATTATGTATGAAAGAAATGAGTTTCAGAAGCCAGTGGGGGGGAATCTCCTCCACTGCCGGTCACATCATTCTTCAACAAAAGATATTTGACAGCACAGGCCATTTTCTATACCTAAATATTTCATAAATATTTCATATTTTCATATTTCATAAATATTCATAGGTTTTTAAAAACGCTTCTATTAATGTCCTAGTATGATTCAAAGAAAAATAAAATGTGCCCCCTAATGGCAAATTGACATATTGCACACTGGAAAATGTGACTAAGCTATTAAAACTACATTGGCATTAGCATACATATTAAACAACATAATTACTGTACATAACTCAAAAAAACATTTGCAATTACTTTTGTTTTGCTAATAATAATTTCAAATAGCAGTGTAAATGAGTAGTAAAAAGGTGTAAATGTTATACAGTGGTACCTTGGAACACAAACTTAATTCATTCCAGAAGGCTGGTGGAGTTGTGATTTGGTCGAGTTCCAAGTAGAATCTTCCCATAAGAAATACTATAAATTAATTTAATTCATTCCAAGCCCCTAAATGATTGCCCATTTAAACTTATCTACCTAAATAATCAATATAAAACTACACATGAAAAAGCACACATACAAAAGCAATAAACATGAAATAAATGACAATCGAAGAGAGAGCAGACACACGTGCACCACCTTCAAGTCTCACTATAATTTCCTTTTTAAGTTCTTCAGTTACTCTCACTACTTTCCTCTGGTTTGCTGCTATCACTGCTCACTTTCTTAGGGGCCATGGTTACTGTATCACTAAATGTACTGTAGATAAAAGCACAAAAAAAATTCACACCCAACACAGGAACACAGCTTTCACACGTCGACCTCGGTCGAGAGGTACCGTGAGTCTGAGAGCGATTCATAGACATCAGCATCCCAGTAGGTCCGTTCGCCTTTGTTTCAGTCCATCAGAGACGCATCTCGATCTGTACAGGTTTTAGCAGATCTGATTTGTTTTGTTGTGTTCAGAGTTTATGGTCAAATTGCGGTTAGATTTTTCTCGACCGACTTGTTCAAGGTCTGAATTGCTAGGGTTGAACACATCTCGGCCCACACAAGTTTTAGCAGAAACGGTCGAGTTCCAAGATTTTGGTCGAGGTGCAAGTAGAAAAAAATTCAACAGCCTCCGTTCGATGTCCGAGTTGGTTGAGTTAAAAGGCCTTAGAGTTCCAAGGTTCTGCTGTATTTTAAATTGTATATTTTCCTTTCTGTACCCCTCCCTCTGATAATGATCAGAGTACAAGTAAATCTGTTTTGTAAGACGTTTATTTACATTAAAATATAGTGTTATCCTCAAAACGTACATCTTTACGTCATGCCTTGCAATGCAAACTTTCTTTCATTGGCAAAACCAGTCAGTTTGATACAATATTTGTCTTTAATCCTTAAACTACTTTTAAACTACTGAACTGTTGAAAAACGTATTTGCTCATCTTTGTATTTTATCTGTGTCTCTGGGTTAGTACAGCATGCAGAACAACAAAAATACAGATATATATATATATATATATATATATATATATATATATCAAAAAAAGATGGAAAATAAAACATGAATTTACAGTCAAGTACTTTCAAAGAACAACAGAACATTGATGGCAAAATAAGAGGTACAGAAGAAAAGAATCAATGAAACAGCAGGTAAAGCAATGACATCATTAGAAATTATTACAAACCAAAAATATTTCAGAGAAATGAACTGTTTTGAATTGTACAGTTTGAATACACACAGAATTAAAAATGACTGCTTTAATAAACTGTACTATGTCATGTAATGGTTTACAACCCGTTTTCCTAACTTGTTTTTTATGTTTAATCAGGAAAATCTTACAGACAGAAATGTGTTATCGACACTGAGTTTTTCAGTATACTTTAGCAGATCCACCCCTTGTACTATCAGTACTTGTTTTATAATGTGTTTGTGGTGGAGAGCTGCTAGCCACAAATGCTGTAAACCTCAATTAGCACCTTGACTTCTTTATTCATACGTTATGTAGCAAAAATGAAAACATAAGGCACTTAAACAACGCTGGCTGGTACTGGACTGGAGGTTACTTTCTGAAGTTAAGCCTATATAAAGGTCTCTTTTGATTGGTGGGTGAAGGGAGCACAGCAGCCAATGGTTTCAGGATGACCTCAGAGCATCAGCAACATTGGCTCTCCATGTGTGGGAGATGAGGTGAAGGTATAGGGGTACTGGAGGGTGATCTACAAACAGAAATTAATGACATGAACAGAACTGAAACAAAACAAATGAAAATGTAGGGAAGGGCTGAGTGTAACTCAAGGATTCAGGGAATAAACTGATGGGCCATTTAATAAAATTTATTCACCTCTACTTTTACACAGAAACAGTTTTTCATATATATATATATATATATATATATATATATATATATATATATATATATATATATATATATACACACACACACACACACATACTGTACACATACATATCAAACTGTACACCAAGTACACCAACAAGCAGTTACCTGGATATCTTGGCAGGAAGACCTTTGAGTTTTCCTGCTGAGATGTTGATCAGTTCCAGCTGTCTGCACACCCACACCTCCACCTTTGTGTCCAGTGCTGCTCTGTTAAAAAGAAAAATTGCACAGCATTTAATAACCAACCAATCACTGTAAGGGGGAAACGGCATGTAGTCCCATCAACTACTACAGCAGCCAATCCTGGCTGTGATGCGTGCAAGACCTGACAGAAAGTGTATTCTTCAGGATTTTGTTAATAATGTAATATTTATTAAATCCTTAATAGAATACTAAAGTCACTAAAGTGTTCAAAACATTATTATATAATATATAAATATTATTGTTACTTATAAACAATATCTCAAACAAAATAAGGAATAAATAGGTACCTGTATTTGTACTTTTGTATATGGCAAATAAAAGTGTATTAACATTCAGTTAATCAAATTTATGGATTCCATATGAATACATCCATGCACCCATCCATAGGGGTCTCTCCAGCACAGGTGGCGGTAATCATGGGGACACATGTGATCCTGAAATTTACCATACGACTAACCAAAGCTTGTAAACTATTCTCAGGGGCTAATGCAAGTGATTCTGGATGAAAGAGAAGCAGGCTAGCCTAATATTAAATCCAAATGAGCAAAACGCTGCCGCATCTAAAAAAGGTCAGTCGAGATGATGGAGGAGGACAAACTGAGGAAAGACTGAAGAAAAATATGTAGGAGAGAACAGGACAGGGTAAAGAGTGAACAGGCTGACGTGAGCTGGAGTCACTTACGATGACTTATGCATAACTCTCAGTGTCTGTGCATGTAGGTACAGTATTAGAAGCTTTTCTCTCGGTGGAATCAGGAGTCTTCTGAGGTCATCTCAAAATCTTCAGCTGATACCATTTAGGATTTCTTGACACAAAGTTTTTGAGGGTGGATAGAGTGGACCAGGCCAGAAAAAAATAATAGTTTTTCAGTCAAAAATATTTGCTGGAGTTTTCCATTCATCTGAGGTGTCTTGGTGGTACCAGGGTTCTGTGGTGAGTATTAATGCAGATACTTTGAGCTGGGAAATGATTATACTGATCTATGCAATGCAGGGTGGTTGAACAAACAAAAAGACTTTCCATTGTGGCATCTTGAAGCATTTTTATTCCAGTGATAAAAATTTGTTATCTTTATTCTGCTCTGCAGACAGCAAGCTAGTCATTAGTTATGTTTTGCTGGAAAGCCTTTGCCCTATAAAATATCTCAGATCAAATATCTATACATGTACAGAGAATAAAGCCATATGTATATTTTTAATTCGGGTAAACAGCATCACTTTTAATTCTGTGTTGGCATGTCCTATGAATACGTCTCTTAAACTAAACCCAGAAAACAATATGAAAAAATACTTTTGTTTTTATATACTTCTGTCAGAATTCTTTCAGATATAACTTTCTGGAAAATTCCTTATATGTAGTGTTAATCATAATATACAACACGAAATAGTGTTACTTGACACCAACAAAGTGTTAAACTGAGCAATTCAAAACATATTAAATGAGTTCAAGGATCTTACAAATATGCACTTTGTTGCACAAATAAACAGAATAATAGAAATTAGATTTATCTCAGAATACAAAATAAGCCCTCAAAGAATCATTCTGAATATACACTGAATTAAGTGAGATCTTTATATATAACTACATCCAGCATTAATGCAATATGATTTAATGCAACCACATGCAGAGCAGAATATTTTTCCTATAAATTAAAAAGCTGACAAGCGGATTGGAAGCATTGTTGCAAAGGTTTGTTGTTCTTCAAGGCCTTGTTCATGATAACTAATGCAATGGCTTGGCTTAGTATCGGCGGCTGTAGGATGAAGAGCTGTAGGAGGAGGACGACAAGTTCATGGTGAAACCAGAGCCAGTAGCATCAAAGCTTCCTCGTCTTGAGCCTTGTCTAGACCCTGTTCTTGATCCACTCCGGGAACCCACTGCTGACCCAGCACCACTGGCATTGTAGGGGCTGTAGAGACCTTTGCTGGATTGCGAGCATGCCTCCAGAAGATGCAAGCCAGATCCCTCTTCAACCATGCTTCTGTCCATGGCATCTTTGTAGGAGATCTTCAGTTTGGTTTTGGGGCAGGTCAGGTATTTGTTATAGCTGCTCACGTCTCGCAGCTTCTGGGCGGTACGTGTGTCCAAAGTGCCCTTTTTGATAGCTTCATCTAGTGAGACTCTGCCAGAAACATCAGGTTCAATTAATCCTCCAGTGAGGTACTGGACCTCAAGGAAACGCTGGCCAGCTTCATAATAAAGCCATCCTTTTTTCAAGGCCTGAGCAGCAGACATTTTAGTCTTGGTTCTAGGATCTTCAAATCCATTGAAAGCTTTCTGAGCCAGGTTGAGGCGATCAACCATTATCTTATCAACAAGGTTTTTGCTCACTGCATCAGCAACAGAGAATGTCTCCCCTGTGGTGGGATCAATGATACCACCAGTACATGCTTGGGCTTCCAGTAGTCTTTGACCAGAGATGTTGTCTAAAATGTTTCGATGCATAGCTTCAGTTATGGACACCTTCTCTAAAGTGTCTGTATCCAGGATTCCAGCCACTGGGCCTGTTTCCTCAGTTGGATCATTCCATACTGTTGTTGGGGTCTTGATGGATGGGAGTGGACTCATGGGATAGGAAGAAGTGGATCCAAATGAGGATGAACGGGATCGGAATCCACTCATGGTACCAGACAACATGTCAGCAAATTCTGTGATGGAAAGAGTGCCAGAACGATACTGATCCATAGCAGACTGATCAATGAGGCCTCTTGAAATAGCGTCATCTATGTCATATTGTCGTCCAGACCTTCTGTCAATGATCATGGATTTCACAGTCCCATCAGAGGAGGTAGTGGTGATTTCCTCCCATTCACATTCCTGCTCTGCAAGTTCCAGGTAGGTCTGATGGTCAATAAGTCCTTTGCGGTATGCCTCATACACCGACATCTCTTTGCCAGACTCGGGATCTACAATGACTACTCTGCGTTTGCGAACAGATGACTTGGATGATGTCTTCCTCTCTCGCTTCTTGTCCTTCAGAAGCAGGAGAACGAGGTTTGTTTCTGGGTCTGTAATGCACCTCTCCATCAGCCCTAAGTAGGTGAGGTTCTCCTCAGTATTTGGGTCAAAGAATCCCTTGGTGTCGTCAGATGGATCAGAGAGAATTTCATTCATCTCTTCATCAAAGAGGCCACGGTTGTAGGCCACCTCTACTGGAAGTCGATGACTTTCCTCTGGATCAATGATGCCGCCAGTGGCAATCTGAGCTTCCAGAAGGCGAATTCCATGATCTTTCAAAATGAGACCTTTTTTCATAGCCTGGAATAAAGAGATGGTCTTTCCAGTATATGGGTCTCTGTAACCTGTAACAGCACGCTCAGCGGCGAGAAGTTTGTCTCTGAACTCTGGTCCCACAATTCCCATCCTGACAGCATCATTTACAGTCAGCTTTAGGGCCTTAATTGGGTCAATGACGTATCCTGTGGCTGCCTGAGCTTCCAGCAGTTCAAAAGCGGTTCCAGGTCTGATCAAATTCTTTTTCATTGCTTGATAAACAGACAAACGTTCCTTTGTAGATTCAATAAATACACCAGCAATACAACTTGTGCCTTCAAGATATTTCTGGAGCCCCTTGCTGACTTCCTCAATTGTAACAAGGCCTTCATTTAGTTCTGTGACTGTCTTTTGGTCAATGATCTGGGAGCGTATCAATTCTTCTATAGTGATCTGCTTCCTAAGACCCTTGAACAGTAATCTTCTGTCTGCTAGTGACAGCATTCGCAATCCAGTGCCCTTGTCAATTCTGCACCTCTTAAGCAGTTGGGTATATGATAGTTTCTCTTCTGTGACAGGGTCAGTATAACCCTTAACATCTCCTGAAAGCTTTTCATTGATTTCTTTATTAATGTATCCACGCTGCATGGCAACATCAGTGGGAAGGTGGAAGTAGAATTCTGGATCCACGAGGCCACCTGTGGCTACCTGTGCTTCCAGCAGTTTTAGAGCATATTCCTCAGGAAGCAGGTCTTTCTTCATTGCTTGGAACAGAGAGATAATTTTACCACTGTAAGGATCCTTATAACCAGTGACAGCTCTCTCAGCAGAGAGAAGTTTGTCATGGAGCTCTGGACCAACAACACCTTTGCGGACAGCCTCATCAACAGTTAACATTTCATTCCTGACTGGATCAACCATAAACCCTGTTGCTGCTTGAGCTTCCAGAAGACTAACAGCAATTTCAGGTTTCATTAGTCCTCTCTTCATAGCCTGATAAATACTGATTCGGTTGGAGGCATCAGACAAAACCCCAGCAATGCTGCCAGTGCCAAAAAGATACTGTTTCACTGTCTGCATTTCCATGACTTCTCGAATGGTTATTTTCTCTTGCTTCAGCAGATTGTAAGTTTCCAAGTCAATAATGTGAGCGTTATATAGTTCCTCAATGGTAACTCTTCGTCTGATTACGTCGCAAGATGCAGTATGCCCACCCCTGATGATTTCCCTTTGCTCAATTATTTCTATAATTATGATGATCATTCGTTCCTTTGTGATTTTTCCAGACCGATATTCGTCAAGGAGTTTAAGTCTTTCTTCTTCAGGGAGCATATCTGAGTTCATGATATCCCACAGAGACATTGACTGTCCAGAATGACCTCCAAGTGGGATATCTACTTTAGTGTCAGCTAAGTCCTTCTGAGTTTGTTCCTCAGTGTACAGGTAAGTCTTCTCCACCACTGTGGGGGACTCTGGTTTTGAAAGGCGTAATAAACAGAATCCTGTTCCAGGATCTCTCATGCACTTCTCCTTTAGCTGTTTGTAAGTGACACTTTCCTCTGTGTTGGGGTCAGTGAATGCCTTGGTGTCATTTGTTGGCTCGGACAGAATCTTAAACATCGGTTTGCTGAGATAGCCACGCTCATAGGCTACCTCCATAGGCACCCTGTGACTATTTACAGGATCAATGATTCCTCCAGTAGCAATCTGAGCTTCGAGAAGAGGCACAGCATGCTCCTTCAAGATGAAGTCTTTCTGCATAGCTTGGAAGAGGGAGATCTTGTTACCTGTGTAGGGGTCATTGTAGCCAGTTACGGCTTTTTCAGCTGAAAGAAGTTTTTCATGAAGCTCAGGGCCAACGGTGCCTGCCTTTACAGCCTCATCCACAGTCAGCAGCTGATTTGTGATCAGATCCACAATAAATCCAGTAGCTGCTTGCGCTTCAAGAAGTACGAGGCCTGTGTTGTGTCTTAGCAATTTCTTCTTCATTGCTTGGTAAATGCTCATCTTTTCTTTGGTTGGTTCAATGTAGATGCCAGCAATGCAGTCAGTGCCCTGCAAATAATTTTTAACCTTGTCAAATTCAGCAACATCTTTTGGGCACGTTCTGCCTTGCTGCAGCTTTTCAAATGTAGTTTTATCAATTATCTGGGAGTCAAGCAACGATCTTGCTGGGACAGAACCTCTGAGTCCCTTGAAAGTGACCTGTTCATTTTTCTTTGTTTCCTTCTCATCGATGATGGTGATGACAATCTTAATGATTTTTTCAATTGTCACCTTGCCAGATTTGTATTGCCTGATCAGCTCAAGTCTCTGTTCCTCTGTTAGATACTCAGAGTTGATGAGCTCCCAAATAGTTACTTTCCTTCCCTTGAATGGTCCAGATGACATTTCTATGCTTGCCTGGTTGAAAGCCTCTTTAGTTTGTACATCTGTGTAAGACTGAAAGTCTTTTGCATTGATGGCTTTCTCAGACAGAGGCAGAAGCTGAAGACCAGTCTCCTTGTCAGTGATGCACCTTTCCTGGAGCTGTGAGTATGTGACATTTTCCTGGGTGTTGGGGTCAAAAAACCCCTTTGTGTCATCAGTTGGCTTGCTCAGAATCTGGTTTATTTCATCATCAAAATATCCCCGCTTGCAGGCAACATCATGTGGGATACGATAGCTTTTTACCGGGTCAATGATGCCACCAGTGGCCAGCTGAGCTTCCAGCAAACGAATGCCTTGGTCCCTGATAATGAGTTCCTTCTTCATAGCTTCAAATAAAGAAACAGTTTTCCCGGTGTAGGGATCTTTGTAGCCAGCGACAGCTCTCTCTGCAGAACGCAACTTTTCGTGAAGCTCAGGGCCAACAAGACCTTCTTTTACAGCTTCATCAACAGTCAACTTTTGATTTTTCACTGGGTCAATGATAAACCCAGTTCCAGCTTGTGCCTCCAAAAGATTCAAAGCTGGGCCTGGACTCAAAATATCTTTTTTCATGGCTTGATAGAATGGCATCTTCTCCTTCGTTGACTCGATGAACACTCCAGCTATACCGTTAGCACCTTTCAGTGCTTTCTTTACTTGCTCCAGCTCAGACACTTCTTTAACTGACTTATTGCCCTTGTGGAGTTTGTTGTATAAGTCTTTGTCAATGATCTTGCAATCCAGAAGTTCAGTAGCAGGAACAGGCCCCCTGAGTCCGTCAAATTCAATTTCTTTCTTTTTCTCTTTGTCTTCTACCACAGTAATAACAATCTTGATGATTTTTTCCACAGTGATTTTCCCTGTCCTGTACTGTCGGATTAGATCTTTCCTTTGTTCCTCAGTGAAATACTCCGAGTTGATAATTTCCCAAATGGTGATGTTCTTTCCCTTGAACCTTCCAAATGGAACTGATACAGTGGTCTTGCTGAAGACATCTTTTGTTTCCTCATCAGTGTATGTTCTATCACTTAGAGCAGCCTTGTCTGTAATGGGTAGTAGTAACAGGCCAGTTTCTGGGTCTCCTGTGCACCTTTCCAAAAGCTGTAAGTAAGTCAGATTTTCCTTAGTGTTTGGATCAAAGAACCCTTTTGTGTCATCTGTAGGATCTAGTAGAATTTTGTTCAGCTGCGCATCAAATTGACCTTGCTTATAGGCTGTCTCAGTAGGCACACGATGGCTATGAACTGGGTCGATGATTCCACCAGTAGCTAATTGAGCTTCAAGCAGTCTAATGCCATGGTTTTCCACAATCAAACCTTTTTTCATGGCTTCAAAGAGGGAGATTTTTCCACCAGTATATGGGTCCTTGTAACCAGTGACTGCTCGTTCAGCGGAGAGCATATTATTATGCAGTTCAGGCCCAATTAGTCCCTCCTTTACAGCTTCATTGACAGTAAGCTGCTTATTCTTCACTGGGTCAATTATATACCCAGAGGCTGCCTGAGCTTCCAGAAGTACCAGTGCAGTGCCAGGGGTGATTTTGTTCTCTTTCATAGCTTGATAGATGCTCATCTTTTGGTTAGGTTTGACTAAGACTCCTCCAATGCAGTTGGTACCTCTAAGGTACTTCCTCAGGGTTTCATCCTGGCTGAGCTCCTGCACAGTAGTTTTTCCCTTATTTAACTTATCAAAGTCCTTTTTGCTCAACAAGCCAACGTCATACAGCCTGCTTGCAGGGACCCTCTCCCGGATTCCCTCAAATGCCAGCGGTGAGACTCCATTCCTGTCCACATCATCCCTGCCACTCTGGCCATTGAAAATCTCCTTTGATGTTCCCACTGACGTTGCAAAAACCAGTTCTGTTTCAGGGACAAATTCTGTTTGGATTTGAATCTCCCTTGTATGCGCTACTGCTGGTTTTTCAGCAACCTGAAGCTTTTGCAGTTTTTCACGGAGGTTCTTGTTCTCCTCAGCCAGCAGCTTCTCCTGCTCTAACCGCTTCTTTTCAAGCTCCTTCATCTCCTTCTGCTTATTGCGCATTTCTTCTTCTGCATCTGTTTGCTTCTTGAGAGCAGCATCCAAGTTCTTCTGAAGTTTTCTCTTCTCCTCCTCCATAGCTTTTCTTTGATGCTCTTGTTCATCCTTGAGGGTTCTCGCTTTTTTAACTTCCTCTTCAAACTGTTTTTCCAGCCTCTTTTTCTCTTCTTCGATAAGCTTTTCCTTTTGGAGCAACATCTCCTTCTCTGTTGTGAAGGTCTTCTGAAGGATTATCATCTCATGCTCAATTTGTTCCTGCTGAGCATTAGCCATCTGTAAAAAAGGAATAAATAATTATTCAATTAATGCATAACTATGGCAAAATACCCATTGATATGGGTGGTAAGATGGGACCAGCTGGTCGCTAATGAGCATTAATTCGATAATGAAAATAATAAATTTTATATGAAAATCAGGAATATTCAGTAGCTAAAAATTATTTCCATTATAACATAAAGCTTATGTAGAATGTACCGAATGTTACAGTGAACTTCATCAGTCATAGTTAAGTTAGTAGGAAAGACTGTTAAAAGAGCATAAATGACACTCATAATAGAATGTTGGAAATAATACCTCCTTTGACTTATTTTGTAACTCTGCAGCCTCCCTTTTCAGTTTATCCTTTTCCTTTTCAAGCTCAGAAATGGCTTTTCGTAGTTCATCAGCTTCTTTGCTACTCTGCAGTCTTTGGACCTCTAGTTTTTCTACGACATGGAACTTTCCTTTATTCAACAGCTCGGTCTCATGCAGACGAGCGCTGATGTCATCCGCCTGCTTCCTGAACTTTTTGGCTTCCTCCTCTGCTTTTGACTGTGCGTCGCTCAGCAAAGTCACCCTGAGTTTCAGTTCCTCGGCCTCAGCGGTGATCATCAGCTGTCGCTTGCGTTCAGCTTCCAGGGATTTCTGAAAGCCCTCGGTCTCCTCCTGTAAGCGCTGTTGCATCAGCTGCTTGTCCTCCAACAGCTTCTGAGCCTGCTCCTGAGCCTGGTCCTTTTGTTTCTGAAGCATGTCTGCCTCTGCTCTCAGTTTTGAGGCCTCTTGGATGGCTTGCATTTTCTCCTTCATCATCTTCTCTGCAAGTGCCCTCTGCTGGGCAAGGTCAGACTCTGCGATCTGCCTCATACGGGCAGCCTCCTGGGCCTCTACACTGAGTCGAGCAGCTTGTTCTGCCAGCTTCTTCATATTCTCTGCTTCCTCAGCCAAAAACTTCTCAGTGTTGTCATTGTCTCTTTTGATCAGGCGCTGGTTTTCCTCCTCAATTCTGAGTTTCAGTTTGACCAGTTCCTCCATCTGGATCTTGACTTTGAACAGCTCTTCCTCCACCTGGGCCTTCTGCTTCATTGCGTCAGTGACCTCATCTTTGAGGCGATGATGCTCTTCATCCAAGAAAGACTTTTGCTTGTCTGTCTCATCCAGCTGCAGCTTGACCTTAGTCAGTTCCTGTTCGACTTGAGACTTTTGTTTTAGTGTCTGCTCTGCAATCTGTTTGTGCTTTGCCATCTCAGAGTCCGCCTGTTCTTTTTGTTTCACAGCTGCTGCCTCAGCTTGGCCTCGCTTAGCAGCCTCGAGTTCAGCCTCCTTTCTCAGTCGCTCCGCATCCTCCTGTGCTTTAGCCTGTTTAGTAGCTTCCGCCTCTGCAGCTTGCTTCTGGCGCTCAGCATCCTCTGCCTGCTGGCGAAGGAGAGCAGCTTCCCTTTCAGCTTTCTCCTTGGCCTCCTCTGCTTCCTGGGCAAGCCTTCTGGCTTTTTCAAATTCCTCTTTCAGCTTGTTCTGAACTAGGCTGTCCTCCTTCTGCTGAACGAGCACACTTTGGACCTGGTGTTCTGCTGCAGTGCACTTATGTGCAGCCTCTTTGGCCAAAAGGATCTGCTTCTCAGCTTCTTTGTCAGCTTCCTCCTTTTGCTTGTGAGCTTCAGTTGCTCTCTTCTTTAAGCGCTCCACTTCCTCCTGGGCTAGCTTACGCTGGCGTGCAGCTTCTTCTTCGGCAGCAGCGATCTTTCTTACTTTCTCTTCTGCTTCCTTCCTTCTGCTTTCCTCTTCCAGGACCAGCTTGCGGAGCTTCTCTGCCTCCTTCTCCGTCTGGATCTTGCTTTGTTGAGTTTCTTCGGCAATGTTCTTCAGTTTGTTCAGCTCCAGCTCCAAGTCTAGTTTGCCAGAAGAGGCCTTCTCAAAATTAAGTTTAAGGATACGGATCTCCTCCTCCACAACCCTCCTTTGTTTGAGGGTTTCTTCTACGATTTGTTTCTGTCTTTCTAATTCAGTGTCAGAGGATTTCTTGAGCTGGTTAATCTTTTCCTCAATATCTTGCTTGTGCTGAGTTGCTTGGTCCTCGAGAGCCTTTCTCTGATAAGTTTCATCTTCAGCTTGTCTTCTCAATCTCTCGTTCTCTGCCTCCTTCTCTTTGAGGGCGATTTCAGCTTCGGTTTTAAGTCGAGTAGCCTCATTGATGGCAGCTAGTTTCTCTTTCAGGATTCTCTCAGCTTCTGCTCTCTGTCTGGCAGCTTCTTCTTCAGCAATTTGCCGTTGTCTCTTTGCTTCTTCGGCAATAGACCGCAGTTTGGATGCCTCCTCCGCCAGATCCCTCATCTTTGTCGCCTCGGCTTCTAGGAGCTGCTTGCTCTTTTCAGTGTTGGACATGGTCTCCTTCTCAGCCTTAGCCTTCAGCTGCAGAAGAATTTCCATTTCGCTCCTCATTTTGGAAAGCTCGTCCTCGAGCTGCTTCCTCTGTTGTTCAGCAGCACTGACTTCATTTTTAAGGCGGTAGAGTTCGTCTTCGAGCACTGACCTTTGCTGTTCAGCATGGTCAAAGTCGGCTCTCAGACGGATAAGTTCTTGTTCAGCGGAAAGTTTCTGCTGGGCTGTGCCTTCAGCCAGCTTGCGCTGTTTCTCCAGTTCCTGCTCGGCCATCTCCTTCTGCTTTAGTGCAGACTCCTCGGCCTTGGCTCTCCTCTTAGCTTCACGCTCAGCCTCCTCCTTCTGCTTCTCTGCCTCTTCCTGAGCTCTGCTCTTCTTGTGAGCCTCCTCCTCAGCCTGGAGCCTCAAGCGGAGTGCTTCGTTGGCTTTCTGTCTCCACTTTTCCAGCTCTTTCTCAGCGTCCTCCCTGCCTTTGTCGGCATCTTCTTGCTGTCTCTTGAGACGTTCCGCCTCCTCCTGCAGCTGAATGACAGTGGTGTGCTCCTGTTTAAGTGACTCCTCCAGTTTTGTTGTCTTCTCGGCAAAAGACATGCGTTTGCTCTGAAGTTCAGCAGTAGCACTCTTCTGTGCGGCGTCGTGGGCCAGCTTGATCTGCCTCTCTTTTTCCACTTCTGCGTGTTTCATTTGCCGCTCTGCTTCTTCAGCCTGCATCCTCAGCCTGTTCAGTTCATCCAGGGCCTTCTGCTTTTGCCTAGCAGCCTCTTTTTCTGCTTCTGACTTTAACTTCAGCTCATCCTCCGCCTTGCGCTTCTTCTGGGACTCGTCATTGACCTGCTTGCGGAGTTTCTCTGCTTCTTCCTGGGCAAGCTTCCGCAGGCGCTCTGCATCGTCCGCTCGGTCGCGAAGTTGCTGGAGCTCCGTCTCAGCCGTAGTCTTCTGCTTCATGGTGGTCTCCAGCTGGAGTCTGATGATGCGTATCTCCTCCTCAACCTTCGTGCGGCACTGTAGGGCATCATCCACCTGTTGGCTCTTGAGGTTGATCTGCTGCTCCGAGAGGTTCCTTAGCTCATGTAGTTGCTGCTGGATGTTCAGCTTCTGCTTCTCTGCATCCACAGCAACAACCTCCCTCTTGCTGACCTCCTCTTGCATCCGAAGCTTTAACTCCTGAGCCTCTTTCTCCGCCTTGGCGATGGCTTTAGCATGAGCCTCAGCTAATTGCTTCTGCTTCTCTAACTCAGCCTGCATCTCCGCCATTTTTCTCCTCTCTTCCTCCTTAAGTTTCTCAGCAGCTTTCTGTATTAGTGGAAGCAAATGGTAAAGAAAAATGAATTAGAGAACAATGGGTTAAATGTTAGACTGACGCACTGATTACAAACACATGCATGTGTAAGCTGGTAAGTTATTAGATTATACAGACAGGCAAGTGTTGGTTCATACATGCTAGAAGAAACTCAGTATATGAAGACATGTCAGACTTCTAGATAAGACACTCAAGACCATGTTACATTTAGGTAATGTATGGAAGACAGAGACAGACATTAAGTCACAGCACTTGGAATCTAGCATGGCAAGATGCACCGAGAGGCTTTCATTTCTCCACATATCTTCAAGCGCGTCAGCAGTTTAGCTAAAAATCCGACATTGTGATTAAAGAGGTGCAATGAAAACAGAATCGGTTTCTGCAGTGTCCTTGCTATAATTTTGACATAGATATTCATTGACATATGGCAGATTTTCCTTCAGGACAAGAAGTAGGTGCTTCATTATTTGTCATTAATAAAGAAAAGAAACTCACACACATACAGATTGGAGTTAAAGGCTGGGATGTGTGGAAGAGAGACTCCACATCCATCTTAAAACATTTTGATCATACAGCAATAGCATTTGGGAGAAAAAAAAAAATGGATTGATCGGACTGGTTTGCGCCACACCTGAGGTGTGTCACTTTTGAGATGAGCAGTAAATGAAGAGCCCAGGCTATACATAATAATCTGACTGGTACGAAAGAGCAGAGGAGTAGCGCAGCGAGGAAAAAAGAACAAGAAAAACACAGAGGAAGACATGGGCTGGAAAAACAATGGGTGCTAAAGCTTTTATTCTAGATAGGTTGCTCTCATGTGTCCTGGGTCTACGTGCGAGAGCGATGCACCGCATCCTAAGGCAGTGATTCTGTTGCAATAAGGGCAGAGGAGAGGGACACGGGTTCGAAAAAGATGCAGAGCGCACTGCCAGACACACAGCGAGCACAGCGGTATGGGATGTCAAACACATGAGGCAAGCAGACAGTAGCCTAACCATTTTGCATTCTTACAGGACAGCTACTTTGTGCTTTTAAGGTTTATGCAGGCTGCCCCTGAGATCAGCGTGCTGGGTGTTAAATGAGGGTGTGGCATGGAGATAGAGAAATTGCTTTTGGAATCATTTACCTCTTTAGCGCCCAAACAAGACAAGCATTCATCATGACAAAGCACTGGCAAGCAGTGTAGAGAAGCAAAGAAGGCAAGAAGATAGGATTAGAAAGAACGGGATAAAGAAAATTGTGTTAAATATTTAAGAAAAGGTTGAGGGAAGGGATTATCAGCCTGAAACATACTCAGTAGCTCAGAGCACAGAATCGGATACAGCTGTTTATTCTGAAAATGCACACAATGACTGGCTTACAGCTAAAGAAGGAGGGACTATGGATATTGCAGCCTGGCTACTAAATGCACATCAGCTTCCTCTACAGTGTGAGACCAGGGTCGGCCACTCCAGTCCTTCATAAGGTGGCATGATGGTTTCATACCAATCTGGCATCATTCTGCTTCATCAAAATTATACCAATTACTAGTCAACACTGTGTGCTACTTAAATGGATTTTGATTTTTGAAAACCTCTGCCTTTGGCATTTTAGCATTTTTATTCAAAGAAAAGCAGCTTCATTTTTAGCTGGACCACAATGCTATAGATTAGATCGGCATAGGGTTGATTTGGTTGGGCAACAACTTTAACCAAAACTAAACAACACAAACACCAGACAATAGAGCTTACGAACCAAAACTAAGGAGTTTAATGTCATTTCTTACATCTAGAGCTTGAAAATATTCTCAATAAAGGATATTGAGCAGACTTACAACCAAAACTACAACATATTAGCAAAAGGTACACTTCTGTAGGACTGGAGCTGCAGCCTGCAGTTTAGGATGAACGCCTTAATTAAGCATTAAGGTTTTGATTTGGTATTGGGTTATTCAAGGCAAACCAGGTCAAATGCATGTATATCAAACAGAAAATGCTAAAATGCCACGCAAACGTTAAATTGTTTCCTCCAGCTCGCTCTGCTGATCATGCACATGAACTTCTGAGGAAACATCTGAGTACCATGGGGGAAATCCTCAGGTCGGATTTGCTTTCACCAAGCTCAGTCAGGCTACATGCTGGGAAAACAGCGCCCCCCCCACCACCTGCTATTGGCCATGTGCCCCCCCACCACCACCTGCTATTGGCCATGTGCCCCCCCCCCCCGCCACCGCACCAACACCCGCGAAGCCCAAACCAAGCCCCGGAGCAGAGGAAAGCCAGACCATCCCACAGACCAAAACGAGAGAACGGGAACGTCGAGGGTCACGCACCTCCTCGGTCTCCAGGCGCCGCTGTGTGTCCGTGATGAACTTGATGTACTGGCTGGTCAGAGTCATGAGCTCGCTGTACCGTGTCCTTAGGGTCACGTACTATCAGGTTAAGACAAACAAACAGATGTGATTTACTTCTATGGGACTGTACACTTCAGATTCCGGGCCGGCTGCTTTTCTTGCGGATGCATTGTGATTGCAGGAGAACCAGAAACATGGACCGTTTAATGATCTGAGTAAATATCTACATGTAAATTCCTGAAAGAAGCCAAATAGTGTGTGATCGTACACCAAACAGTACAAATAAAAGCAGAGCATAACAGACTGTGCCAGGCCAAAGGGTCCTTACCTCCTGGATAATATTGTCAGAAGCAGAATCCATCTTGGGTTTCTTCATTGGAGACAATGGCTCTGCAATGGCCCTGTAGGTCACCAGCTGCAGCTCGTAATCCTGTGAAAAGCAGTCGTGGTCATACTCCATGCAGCACCATCGCTCGAGGGAGAGCGCACAGGTCTATTTAGTTTACGTGTCACATTATGCTAGTTTACCTTGATAGTGTCAATGTAGGTCTTGGCGTACTTCTGACACTCGTCAACTTTGTCTTTGTTTTTCTCGATCTCTTCCAGCAGTTTCTGTTTTAAACAGAATCAAATGAAATCACATTTGGTCATTTAAAGCTAACTGGCCAGTACACATGATCTGAGCCCAAAGGCACATGCAGTGAGGCCAGCTGCACCTTCTCCTGGGCCAGCTGCTCCTTCAGGATCTTGCTGTCGGTGATGGGCACGGCCTGGATGTTCTCCTGCCGCTGCTTGGCGTCGGCGATCCAGCGGATCAGCCAGTCGTAGCTCTGCCGGTAGTAGCCCAGCTGACGGCCGAGCTGCTCCAGGTCCCGCTGCCGTAGGTCCACCTGGGCGAACAAAGCCTGCCAGCGCTCCTGTAGGCTAGCCAGCAGGTGGCGGTAGTGGTCCAGCTCCGCATCACGCTCGCTGTGCAGCCGGGACAGCCTCTCGCTGACAGCCGAGGCTTTGCGCAGCTCGGAGTCCAAGGCGTCGAAGGCGGGCTGCTCGGACTCTGCATCCCCGCGTAATTTCTACACCAGAGGGGCAATGATGTTACTCATCCATCTGTTATTCTGTTCAAGAAATACTTTCCCAGCTGGGGCACGGAGCTCCTGGGATGTGAATGCAGGGCAGGACACATCCTGACTCGGACGCCAGGCCCACACAGGACAGACACATGCTCACTCACACAGCTCGTTTCAGCTTGATTCACATTCACCAGCACAGCTGACCTTAGATGGCACTTTCATTTTTATTTTACAGACCATTACTTCCATTCCTGCTTTTGTAACACATGGTGAGTTTCTCTAGGTCATTCACAGCAAACTGAATTTGCAATGGAAATAGATGCTGCAACTCATCCATGGCCAAATCCCTTCCAAAGACTACAAATAATTCACTACCTGCACAATAAACATACAGAAACTCCCTTCTACGTTTTTCTCTTCATCTAACTACTTTTAACTTTGTAAGAAGCATGATTCAAACTGATAAGAAGCAGAGGGGCTGTAAATGGCTGCTACAGGCCAGGCTGTGATGCCCCGGCCCAGGAAGGCATACCTTCAGCTGGAGGGGGTGCATCCCCGGCCCAGGAAGGCATACCTTCGGCTGGGAGCGGTGCATCCCCGGCCCAGTAATGCATACCTTCAGCTGTGAGCGGTGCATCTCCACCTCCTTGACATCCATTGGCACTTTGTTGACATTGCGGAGCTGGTCCTCATACTTCTTCAGCACATCCTCGGTGCCTTGCGTGCTGCGGATCACCACTTCGATGGTCTTCAGTCTGCACATGAGAAGAAAACAACGGGAGGGGTCTTTAGCTGGGGCAGATGGGCCTATCATGGATTAACTCCAGTGTAGCTTCTTGGCTGGTGCATATACTGCCAAGCATCTAACACAGAACAACCTTAAAATCAGCGTCACAGCTCCGGTGGTACTCACTTCTCCAGGTATATGGAGGACAAACTATAGACCTGGTCCATCTTCTGTAGGGTGAGGTCCAGTTCTGATTTCAGCACTGGCGTCGAGCTGGACTGCTCTGGCGATGCCAGGAGAGCCTCTGCATCCTGGGACACCTTGCCCACGTCCTTTTTGATGCCATCCAGCTCCATCTGGACTTTCTGGGATACGAAGGAAAATGATATGTAAGAGGCAAAGACAAAATGCAGTAACAGCATCAGATGTGCAGAGAAAATTAATCAGAAGGTTATTCTGGGTAAGAGTCAAATTATTTCATCATAATCCATCCATCCATTTTCCAACCCGCTTATCCTACTGGGTCGCGGGAAGTCCGGAGCCTATCCCGGAAGCAACGGGCACGAGGCAGGGAACAACCTGGACGGGGGGCCAGCCCATCGCAGGGCCATTTCATCATAATGCATACAAATAATACAAAAATGAACTGAATGAAAAACAGGATTAGATTGATGATTATTACTGATATCCCCTAATGTTTCTCTGTTCCTTTGGCACAGTGACTACTACGATGATTACAGGATTTTACTGTGAAAGAAAAGCCTTTGTGAGCTAACAGCATTAAAGAGGCATGAGAGGACAGCCACTAGGGGGCGCCATACCTTTTGCTCAGTTGAACGTTGGGCACAGTCCCTGAGTGGCTCCTTGTCTACAGGCTGGCGGATACGAGCCACGGTACGGGCCTCACAGCCCTCCAGCTGCAGACGCAGGTCCTTCAGGTGGGTGATGTAAGTCCGGCATGTCGACTCATTCTGCTCCCCTGTATGGGGACAGCAAATGAGGGTCACAGAGGGTCATTCTCCACATGCCCTCCATCATTAAGAAAAGGAAGAAGAAGAGAGGGGCAAACCATTTTTATGTTGGGGGTGTCTCCCTTTTTTTGGAACACAACCCAACGAGCGTAAAAAAGTCTCACACTCAGTCAGCCAGTGCAGCCACCAAAGCCTCTCCTAACATGAACCAATCGCGTGCAAGAACACCAAACCATGTGACTGCTCCAATGCTTCCTGTGTGTAGCAGAAGCATGTGAACTGGAATGTGAGATACAAACAGGCACAGCTGCCCAACGCCTGTGTCAGCAAACTAAAGCCATTTATAGGGAACTCACCCTTCTGCCTGAGCTCTGAGCCTGAAAGGTGGATTTAACAGTTACTCCGCACTCATCTATTGCCTGCCTCTCTTGTATGTTACGTGGACAAAAGTGTAAAGAAATAAATGTAAGTGATCTATAACACATGCTCCATTAAACCCTGAGCCAAGTACTTCATACCTTGAGGTATATTTTAAGCTATTAGAATACAGGCATTCTAGCCAGTCCCAGGACACACACCTTTCTCCACACTGCGGAGCAAGCTGTCATAGTAGCGCGAGGCCTTGTTGAAATCAGACTCAATCTGCATTCGGTCGTCAGCTCCGAACATCTGCGAGTCCTGGCTGTCCCTCATGAAGTCCTGGTAGTGCAGCTCCAGGTTCCTCAGAATCAGCCGGTACTCTTCGGGTTTCATGGTCTTAAACTGGAGGGAGGTGGGGGAGAGAAGGAGGACAAATGGAGGACAGGAGAGGTGAGGTGAGGTGAATCATCAGATCTGGACCAGCTCAGCTTCACAATCCTCCATGAGATCTGACGCCCCATTTGGGGGAAAAACATTCTTATTAACTACACATTGATACAAAAATACAAAATCTGTGAATTCCATTTTTATCCGAAAGAAAAAACACCTGTTATCCGATCTAAATTGTAAAAACAGTAAAACATCTTTTCATGGCTTAATTTAATTCAAAGAAGCGTAAGGAGTATAAATGAATTAGGGACTATGGAAGAGGTAACGAGGCACTGCAGAGGTTCACTGCAGAGCTGTACTTAGGACTTATCTGCACTCAGAGGGCACATGATATATTAAAGGACATTCTGATGAACTGAACTGCTTCCTAAATATGTTCCAAAGCTGTGGGACACATCCCAGAACAAATACCATGACATTCTGGAACTGGTTCCGATACATTCTAAAACGGGTGCAGGCTTTGGGCTGGAGGTAGAGGCTCACCATGGTGATGTTCCAGGAGTGGATCTGCTGCATGTCCCTTACGAGGTACTGCCAGGCTAGCATACTCCTCATGTCGATGTGCAGGCTCTGCCACAGGGTCATCAGCCTCTGGTAGCTGGTATCCAGGCTGGAAGGACAAGGGGGTGCAGTGACTCACAGCTCCTCTCTGCTTATATCTCAGCCTTTAGATTATCTTTATCATCTAGTTCTGGTGTCTATCTGGTGATTCAAGCTCCATTTATACATCTTCGGCAAGCCAGGAAAACTGCTCTGATATTACACGTATAAATTCAGTCTAAATAGTTCAGCTCCAGAGAGTAAAACTCCAGACCAAGATTTTGTTTCAACCACCCAGATCAGTACTCTGTGACTGCGACTCTTAATGCTCAGCTGGTTGGTTGAAACAAAATCTTGGTCTGGAGTTTTACTTTCTGAACCTGAATTACCTGCCTTTGCTTTACAGATGGAGACTAAAGTAAACTAAGCGATTCAGTGATTAGTAATGGAAATGTTTCGAGCTTATGGCTGTTAACTGGAGCGGCTGTATGGAGCAGCAGCACTGGGGGGCCGCAGCAGCACTGGGGGGCCGCAGCAGCACTGGGGGCCCCCACTAACCTGCAGATGCTGTCCACAGCCTCCTTGTTGGGCGGCGGGACAATGAAGCAGACGGATGGGACCACCGCCTCGTCCCCAGAGGAGCTCTGCACTCTCCATTTGTAGGGCTGCGAGTTGTTCAGCAGCTGACACTCGTTGCCTTTATGAACAGTGATCTGTGGACAGGCAAACACAAGGCCATTGCACCACCCCAGGGTCACAAGCGTCACTTTGCTATTTACACGGATAGCTCACAAAGGGCTATGCCTACACTTTCGAACAGTGACACTCAGGCCTGGTAATCAAACAGAAGCCTGGCTATCAGTAAGACTGACTCCAAATCCACCATACAAAGACGGCTTGAGGATTTAGTCACTATAACAGATGACATTTGCATATGAATATTCTACACTACTTTCATATTTAATTAGGTTGAACTAACAGGGCTCAATCAGGGTGACAAGTAGCATTGTGGCTGAGGGAGCCCTGGAAATGAAACCTGACTAGTGATGCTCCACCCACCTCCATCTGTTTGAAGTCACACACGGCCTGGACGGGTAGCCTGCCCTTGACGGGGGTGCTGGGGTTGCGTGGTTTCAGCTGGATCACGGTTCTGGCTCGTTTGTTCAGCCCGGCCAGATGAGTCTTGAACTCGTTCAGCTGCTCCTTCTCCTCCTGCGTTTGAGAGGCGGGCGAATGGGCGTAATGTCAGCCGGCTGCCATCACAGTGAGGTACGACTGAATGGATGCCATCACAGTGAGGTAAGACTGAATGACTGCCATCACAATGAAGTACGACTGAATGGCTGCCATCACAGTGAGGTAAGACTGAATGGCTGCCATCACAGTGAGGTAAGACTGAATGGCTGCCATCACAGTGAGGGACGACTGAATGGCTGCCATCACAGGG